AAGCAGAAAATAGGAAAGGGAGATCTGCTTAAAGGCAAGCATACTGAGAACCACACCAAGACCCAGGTAATAGTCCTGCCTTTACCATTCAGCCTGCTATGCGATATTGAGCGAAAGGTGGCTCCTCTCAGGACCTCTGTTTTATCATTAGAAAACATAAAGGGTTTGGACTAGTTGATCCCAAAGGTCTCTCTAGGCTTTAACATGCTGTTATTTTAGGTGCTAGTTGAGAGGCTAACAGAGAAAGAGTGAACCGTAGCAACAAGTGGAGAGCAGGCTTTGGCCTTTTAGTGTAAGGGCAAATGGCTTTTATACTAGAGCAGCGGTTCTCAACCTGTGGGTCGCGACCCCTTTGGGGGTCAAATGACCCTTTCACAGGGGTCGCCTAAGACCATTGGAAAACACATATATAATTACATATTGTTTTTGTGATTAATCACTATGCTTTAATTATGTTCAATTTGTAACAATGAAAATACATCCTGCATATCAGATATTTACATTACGATTCATAACAGTAGCAAAATTACAGTTATGAAGTAGCAACGAAAATAATTTTATGGTTGGGGGTCACCACAAAATGAGGAACTGTATTAAAGGTCGCGGCATTAGGAAGGTTGAGAACCACTGTACTAGAGGATCCCTCAAGGACATCATTGTATTACAGCACAGTATAACATTGGATGGTCATAATTATATCACATTTTCTTTAGGTAAAAGTTAAATTTTGTTCTATCTTTCACTTGCAAATGTAGGGGAATTTTAAACACATTTTAGAAAGATGAGTATTAAAAATGATTAGAATTACATTTTTAACATTTTAAGAGATTAGCTTTGGTTTTCTAGGAAATTCCCTCACTTTCTCTTGAGTAAGTAAAGTTATGACTATGTTGTAGATCCTTGACATTCTTGTGAACTACATCTCAAAATCTTTGTGAATCCCCTTTTGTAAATAATGAAAAATATAGTACAGGTTTCTGGCTTTTTGTTGTTGTTACAGTTGTTTTTTAACATGTGTTATTGATGTTAATGTTAATTTTGTGGACAGAGGGTGTGTGTATGTGTGTGTCTATAATTCTATATAATTTTAACACATATGTTGGTCCATGTCTCCACCACATAGTCAACTTACAGAACAGAACAGTTCCATCACCACAAAGATCCCTCCTGTTGCCATTTTATAACCACACCTCATCTCCTTCCTACCTTTCCCCCAATCCCTAACTCCTAGCAAACCAATCGGTTTTCCAGCTCTATATTTTTTCCCCTTTTGAGGCTGTAAATAAAACTGTACAGTATGTAGCCTTTTCTCATTGGCATTTTTCACTCAGCATGGTTACCGGGAAATTCATCCATGTTGTTTCATGCATCAATAATTTGTTCTTTATTATTGCTGGGCAGTATTCCCTGGTATGGATGTACCACAGTTTGTTTAAGCATTTACCCATTGAATAACATCTGGGCTGTTTCCAATTTTGTCTGTTACAAATAAAGCTGCCATGCACATTTGTTTACAGGACTTCATGTGAACATAAGTTTTTATTTCTCTGGGATAAGTGGCCAACTGTATAATTGCTGGGTCATATGGTAATTGCATGTTTAGTATTAAAAGAAACTGCCAAACTGTTTTCCAAAGGATCTATACCATTTTACATTTCCACCAGAAAAATATATGAGTGATTCAGTTTCTTCACATCTTCACCAGTATTTGGTGTTGTCACTTTTTTATTTAGCCATTTTGATAGATGTGTAGTGTAACCTCCCATTCGCGCCCTGACTGGGGATAAAATCTGCAACCTAGATATGTGCCCTGACCAGAATTGAACCAGCAACGGTTTGGTGTACAGGAAAACTCTCCAACCAGTTAAGCCACCTGGCCAGGGCAATGTTTATCATTTTAATGTAAGGATATCCAATTGCTTCAGCACCATTCGTTGAACAGGCTATTTTTCCTCCATTGAATTCCTTTTGCATCTTTGTAAAAAATCAGTTGCTGTACTTGGATGGGTTTATTTCTGGATTCTCTATTCTGTTCTATTGATATGTACAGGTGCTCTTTGAATTATGATGGGGTTATATTCTGAAAAACCTATCATAAATTGAAAGCATTGTAAGTTGAAAATACATTTAACACACCTAATGCACTGAACATCATAAATTTGCTCAGAACACAATATTCAAAAATTGCTGGCAACACAGTATACTGTAGAGTATCATTTATTTAGCCATGTGATCATGTGACTGACTAGGAGCTGTGGTTGACACTACTGCCCAGCATCATGAGAGAATATTGTATTGATATTGCTAGCATGGTAAAAGATAAAAATTCAAAATTTGAAATATAGTTTCTATTGAATGCATATTGCTTTTGCATCTTCATAGTAAAATATCATAAGTTGAACCTTTTCAACATGAGTACTACACTGTCTTGATTACTACAGCCAAATATTAGGACTGAATACCAGGTAGAATTATTCCTCCAAATGTATTCTTTTTTTTTTCATTCTCACCGAAGAATATTTTTTCCATTGATTTTTAGAGAGCGTGGAAAGGAGGGAGAGAGAAAGAGAGAGAAACATAGACATGAGAG